CCAACCCCCCACCCAGCCTCACCTCAGCCTCGTCTTGTACTCGACCTCAGACACAGCCTCCCCTGGGAACTCAGGGGCCTCCGCGGGGCTCCACTCCGGTGACAGCTGGCGGAGATGGAAAGGGTCATGGCTGGGGCGGGCGGGGCGGGCAGCGGCAGGTGGTGCGACTCAGCCCGGCCTCCACGGGGTCGGGCCTCGCTGGGCAGAGGCCCCACAGGCAGTGGCCATCCAGCACAGGGCGCGGGCAGGGGCAGGTGTCTGCCGGGACCGGCAGGTACCTTGAGACGTCTGTCCAGGTAGGCGGGGGACACCCAGCCCTGCCTCGAGGGGCTGGACTTGGTGGGCTTGGTGCGCACGAGCCAGCGCAGCGGGTGGGCAGCGTCCAGCACCTCCACGACCTGGCCCTCCCGCAGCGCGATGGCGTCCTGCTCCGCCCCCAGCGGCAGGTAGTCGGCCGTGACCACGTAGATGTCAAAGATCTGGGGGGCGCGGGGGGCGCGGAGTCAGACCAGGGCATGGGGGCCCTCAGGCGCAGAGGGGCGCGGGCAGCGGGGCTGGCAGTGAGCACAGTGCTGGGCACCCGCTGGGCACGCAGGACAGGACCTCCGGGACGCCCCCACCCCGCGACCTGCCGGCCTCAGCACCTCGCCCCGAGAGTCCCCGTCCTCCGACTCCGAGGACGACTCCTGGACGCTGGAGGAAGGGCGTGAGCGGCCGTGCCGGGGGGATGCTGAGGGCGTCTTGGACTCCTCGTCGCTGTCACCTCCTGGCACCTGCAGCTGGGCTGGGGGCGCCGGGCACGTGAGGAAGCGTGTGCCCCGCCCCGCCGCGCGCGCCCCTCCCCGCCCACGCAGCCTCACCCTGCGTGATCTTGGCAGACACCATCTCCGTGATCTGGGAGGTGAGCTTCTGCAGGAACTCCTCCGTGCCCACCTCGGCCAGGGACAGGGGCTCGCGGGCCGCCCCCACCGGGGGCTCTGCGGGCAGACCTGGTCAGCTGCCGCGCGCTCCCGGGGGCCCGGCACGCTGGCCGCGCAGGGAGACGGTCCAGCAGGGACCGAGAGGGGGCGGGGGGCAGGGCCCGAGGCCAGAGCGAGTCAGCAGGCTGGGGCCCGGCCGGGCTGAGCAGCCTCTGTCCTCCTTGGCCGCTGGCTGCGAAGGGCAGCGGCGCTTAGCCGGCGGGCTGTGGAGACCGGAGGGGCCTCTGCGGGGCAGGTCGGGGTGCCGAGGCGACCCGTGGGGAGCCGCGCAGGGACTGCCGAGGGGTGGGGGTCTGTCTCCCGTTCGGGGCCGCTGGACGCCTTCATGAAGCCAGGCCCAGAGGAGCCGGGAGGAGGAGGGGGCTGAAGCCCCTCAGCCCCCGGACCCCAAGAGACCAGG